CCCCCCCCCCCATATTTATCCTGCTGCTAATTCTGTATAGATTTCATCATTTTGTGGTTTGTGTAGGATGTTTGGACTGAACTTGGACGACCATGTGGAATCCACCCAAAGCAGGTACTTCTTAGTAATACTCATAATTTGTTCATTGGCATGTTGCTGACTCTGATTGCTATTACGGTTTTGTGTGTTTGGATGCTTGAATTTTTATTTGTCAAGTATACTTTGCATTGCAGGTGGACCAAATGGTTATTCACTCTGCATCAGATCCCCGGCCGAAAACAACTCTTTGTGGGGACTACTTCTATAACTACTTTACGCGTGGTTTAGATATCTTGTTTGATGGCCAGGTACTTAAAACATCAAATAAAGTTGTATGTTGCTTTATCATACTTTCCTTGCTCATGGAGATACTTGTTCTGCAGACTCATAAAGTTAAGAAGTTTGTTCTGCACACAAATTATCCTGGTCATGCCGATTTCAATTCATACATAAAGTGCAACTTCTTGATCGTTGGTATGTAATCAAGTAATGGCAACTCATTTCAGTTAATTATTCTCTTTTGAAAATTTTCTAATTTTTGTGTCAAAATCTGATCTATTGCTGCCTTGCAGTTGGAGAATCTGCACCAGAAGCAAACAATGATAACAACAAGATCACTCCAAGCACTAAGTGGGAGCAGGTTAAGGTAAATCCTTTCGGACTGAAAATAGCGCAACCATGACGGGATTGCGATCAGAACTTAGACTATACTAGGTCAATACCATTTGGCACAAATCCACAAGTGGAGCTCAACCTTGCTTGTAGGCCAGGGTAGTGGTGTCTATGATGACACCATCATCCATGGCAGGCCACTCTGGGCGGTCCACTTTGACCTGTCAAAGTCACTGACTTTCAGTGTAGTAGTGTCTCTGATGACAGTTATGAGTTCATACTAGGCCCTAAATCATGAGCATAACAAACCCTTGAAAAGGTGGCTTTTAATGATAGAGCGTCCATGGTCATTGTGATTTCATAAATTTTGAGAAATTTGTCAGTAAATATTGGGAGATTGTTGGAAGTCTTGAATTTTCCGCAATATTAGTTCCTAGGTTCCAGTGGAGTCAAATCAGGAAAACTGATCCTTATCCGAACATCACAGTGAATGGAGAACTTCTTACATAACAATACACTTCACCGTGTAGGAAATACTTGGGGACTGTGGCCGAGCAGCTATCCAGACACAGGGTTCAACCGGCAACCCTTTTGGGTCGACTTATGTGTATGGCTATCAGAATGTTGCTTTTGAGGTGAAACGCTGTGTATAATATACCAGTGACTCTTTTCCTGTTTATATGATGCAGCTTGTGTAAATGTATCTATGTTGGGGCTTTGCAGGTGATGAAGAATGGTCATATAGCCACTGTCACTCTTTTCCAGTCTTGACTGTCACACTTCGCTCAGGTTCACTGTCATCATCCATCAATTCCTCTCATGCTGCATTTATATTATGATTCTTTCGTTGTTTATCTTTGTTCACTTAATTCACTGCTGTACCCATTTCTCTTGCGAGGTCATCATATTTTCTGCCTACGTATTATAACTGCTCACTCTTTCAATAATATTTTGGGGATTTCCAATCTGTCCCACATCGTTCTTACGTAGTAGTTATTTTTATAAAAGGGAGCCTTACATAATGAAAGAGGGATCAGAAATTGTGGGAGACTGTTCATCCCTCGACCCCAAATTCATGCGGCCGATCCAAAGTTTCGACCCTGTTAGTGACTTAGTGTTAGGAAATTTATCGTTATCTTGCTATTTTCCTGATAGATCCAATCCCAGGTCTATCGGTGTATGACCATATTTGTTGAAAATCTCTGTGAAGTTCACCGGGTTTCCTGTTTGTTTGTTTCAACCGAGGATGTAGTCTGGTTTCTGAAACTGGTAAAAGAGATTGGCGTGGGGGTTGAAGACACTTTTTCATGTCACGTTGTATTTTGTGGAGGCTGGTTTCATTTCCTTGCCGTATTGAATTGAGTTATCTTCTTTCGCAGGGGCTACGGGGGGACTCATATGGACATATTATGCCCGTCCGCAGAATCTGTAGAACCAAGTCAAGAAGGTCCAAACTCTTCGAGACTTCAGACAAGAATTTGAACATCACCAAAAAAAGTTGTAAAAAAAAAAAAGGAATGGCGCTGCTACATTTTTTTCTTCTTTTGACGGTAAAGAACAAGTTGTAGAATACAATAGAACTGTGTTGATAGATGTAAATTATCCAATTAAGCAATGGAACATAGCTCATGTGGCCATAAGCCGTTCATTGGCCTTTTAACAGGTTCTGGATTAGTAGAAGAGGCCAAGGGCAGCAGTGGTGTTATAACCGGTTGAATTATTAGTTTGGGTACTGGTTTTCAATTAATGGATAAATGAGTTTAGCGTTTTATTTTTAAATGTATGGATTTGATTTTAATCCATGTAAATTTCAACTCGACGGATCCGAATCGAATAACCCGTAACCCATTTCCTCTGTATGGGGCCATGGGTTTCGTGTTCTTTGGTCTCTGCTAATGAATCTTCCCTGTGATAGGGGCCCTGAGTCTGCTTTCGGTCCGAGAGTTTAGGACTCGACTTCGGGCCGATTTTTCGAGCCTAAATCACCAAACCCGACCCTATAGACACTAGACAGCGAGTTTAGCCCGGGATATTGTTCTCGGAGCTTTATCTCGATTTGAGAGTCTCTGGTACAAGTGGAAGCACTGGTGTGGTTACTTTTGATGGATAAAATGTATTTTCATATTTAAATTATTTGGTAATATATCTTTTAAACGTATTTGAATATTTGAATCTATGCATGCATGCATGCACATATATGTATATGTATTTATAGGGGCGATTAGAGGGATGGTATCGTATTTTCCCTTTTACTTTTGTAAACATCTGAATTCGAAAACAAATGTTTTCGGAACTCATTAATGACGATGGGTTTTTATACATATATAGTATATTTTTTGGGAATTAGGATCGCGATAGGGGTGGCCATTTCGGTTATTAACCGAATAACCGAACGGTTGAAGAAGTTGAATAACCGTTCGGAAATAACCGAACCGAACCGAATCCGAACGGTTCGGTTCGGTTCGGTTATTTGCTTAATAACCGAACGGTTGAAGAAGTTGAATAACCGTTCGGATTCGGTTCGGTTCGGTTAATAACCGAATAACCGCGGTTAACCGAACGGTTATTGAATTTTTTTAATATTTTAATTTTTATCTTCATTATTATTAGTATTATTTTTTTATACTCCACTTTTAACCTTATATATTTCACCCAATAAACCATAAAATGTAATGTCCTAATTATTGAAGTTTTTAGATTTTTTTATAATTTTATTTTAAATGATTAATCATTTTGTGCATTTACTTAGATAGATATTTTGAAATTTATGTAGGATTAATATATTTTTTTTAAAAATATATCATAACCGAACCGAACCGATCTAAAACCGAACCGAATAAACCGGAAAATATAACCGTTTGGTTATAATTTTATTATGCAAAAACCGGACCGAACCGAACCGAAACCGAACTGAACCGAACCGATTAAATCTATATAACCGTTTGGGTATGATTTTTTTATAACCGAAATAACCAAACCCGAAATAACCGAATCGAAAACCGAACCGAAACCCGAAATGGCCACCCCTAGATCGCGATTGCGAATCCAACAAATCGGCAAGTTCATTTCGAGGAGTGACGTATTTGTTGTACATGCGGAGGCAGAGGGCAAAAGGGTAAATGCAGAGGAAGTGGCGGTCAGGAGTTCTTTCGTTGGCGCGGCAGTTTATTTTTGCTAATTGCAATTAACCAACGAGGAGGAAAAAGACGCCATTAACGATAACAGCTTCGATAATCATGCTTTCCAACTCCTCTTTTGTACACACCAGCTAGAGAGAGAGAGAGATGAATCTGTTGATTTCTTTCTTCGGATTCTTCTCTGTTGCATTCTGATTTGGAATACCCGTCATCGTCTCCTTCGCCGTCGTGCCTGCAAATCTCCTTCACTTTGCGTTTGTTTTCGCTTTGTCGAAGCTTCTCTCTTCTTCGCGGAGTTTCGCGCCGTTGGAGGTAAGAAACTCTTGGAATGCCGCTTTCTTTTTCCGCCGGGTTTTGTAATTTATTGTTGATTCCTCGATCGAGCTCATTCGAGTAGTTTCGGCCGTGAAATTTTCAAATTTCACCTCAAGTTTGCTTCTCATCAACAAAATTTTCGATTTTTTTTCCTTAAAATGTCTCATCCGGGATTGGAAATTTGGAATCGATGAGACGCCTACTCCGTTTGGAGTTGTTTCTAATTCTATAGTGTCGAAGTTTCGATTTGGCACAAATTACTATCAAAGCGCGGAAGGTTTTGTCTCTTTCTTAGTATTTTGTTTGTAGCGATCAAGAAATGATGATAAAAATCCATTTGAAACTCTTGCATCATGGTCATGGTGGGAAGGCCCATGCCAAATGCTACAAAACTCCAATGTCTCCATTGGATATTATTATATGAAGTTTCGCTTGTTTCTATCTCGAAGAATGAGGAAAATAAGTCTCTGGTTACCTTAAGCTTATGCATTAAACATGAATCAATGCTTGTTCTTTTGCTAGATTACGATTGACTTCATGGATTTCCATGATTGAGCTGTTGAATTGTCCCATAATGAACTGTTGCTTCTATGTATGATACTGTTGTTTTGATAGGTGTGAAAAGGAAGGTAAGGTAAGGAATGAAGATGGGTGTGGAAGAGGAGCAGATGAAAGGACCAAGAGGTAGTAGAGAGGAGAAGATTTTTGTCTCTGTTCGTCTGAGGCCACTAAGTGAGAAGGAAATTGCAAGGAATGAGGTTTCGGATTGGGAATGCATCAACGGTGTTAGGATTATAGACAGGAGTCATCTTTCAATATCTGATCCACCCGCTTACATTTTTGGTAAGAAGTGCTCACATGGCCAAGATTCATTGTTGTTTGTGTGAATTTCTGATCTTAATCCCGTGCCTCTAGACAGAGTGTTTGGCCCTGAATGCTGTACAAGGCAGGTCTATGAACAAGGAGCCAAGGAAGTCGCTCTTTCTGTTGTTAGTGGTGTGAATGGTATGGCTCATCTCTGTCTGCATCTCCCTCTCTCTCTCTCTCTCTCTCTCTCTCTCTCTCTCTTGTGTTATCCATATAAATTTCAACTCTTTCCAGTCAGTATCTTTGCATATGGGCAAACAAGCAGTGGAAAGACCTACACTATGACCGGTATTACTGACTATACCATGGCTGATATTTATGACTACATTGAGAAGGTAATGAAAAAACTTCCACGAATGTTTTATTTCTACCCCGCTATATCTCTTTAACATCCTCCTTGCAATTCTTTACCTGTTTCCTTCAGCACAAGGAAAGAGAATTCATTCTGAAGTTTTCTGCAATGGAGATCTATAATGAGTCTGTGAGAGACCTCCTAAGTACGGACAGTACTCCACTAAGACTTCGAGATGATCCTGAGGTAAAGTTTCATCATTGTATCTTATGGAACTGGTCTTTTGGGCGATCTTACATCCTGGCGAGTTGGTTTTCTGACAGAAAGGGACCGTTGTTGAGAAACTCACCGAGGAAACTCTGCATGATCTGAATCACTTTAAGGAGCTTCTATCTGTCTGCAAAGGTAAGCAGAATCAATATTGGTGCTTTTTTTTACATCGACTGGTGGTGATGTTTTACATTAATTTGAAAACAATCTAATGATTGCAGCTCAAAGACAAATAGGAGAGACAGCTCTAAATGAAGTAAGCTCAAGGTCTCATCAGATTTTGAGATTGGTAAGGTTGTCTTGCTGGGTTTTTTTTTCACATTTATGGTTCGACACTGCATTGTTTTTGGAATTTTTTTCCTGAATAGTTTCTTTTCTACCTACCAGACAATTGAAAGTATGGCGTGTGAGTATCTAACCAATGATAAATCAAGTACCCTTTCAGCAACGGTGGTATGTACACTTCTGAACTGCCCATCACGTATTCAGCTGGAAATAATATCAAATCATGGACTGGAGATAACTAACTATCCTACAGAATTTCATTGATCTCGCCGGTAGTGAACGTGCATCTCAATCATTGTCAGCTGGCACGAGGTTGAAAGAAGGTTCCCATATAAATCGAAGTTTATTAACACTTGGAACTGTCATTCGTAAGCTAAGGTTAGTCTTTACAAGCGCTTTAGCTTCTTGGAAATTCTTCCTTGGTTTGCTTTTTTTGGTTTCACAAATAAGAGGTCCTGTTATGTTTGAGCAGATATTCATTTGACTAAATCATTAGATTGATGGCATTAACACCTCAAGAAGTAATTCTTCTACCTTTGCCAATTTATCAACTACATATATCACTAACTCATATGGGGTATGTATGTAATGCAGCAAAGAAAAAACGGGGCACATTCCATTTAGAGATTCAAAGATGACACGCATTCTTCAGTTATCATTGGGAGGGAATGGCAGAACTGCAATAATCTGCACAATGAGTCCTGCAAAAATCCATGTCGAACAATCCAGGAACACACTGCTATTCGCAAGCTGTGCTAAGGAGGTCACTACAAATGCACAAGTCAATGTTGTCTTGTCTGATAAAGCTTTGGTAAAACGTCTGCAAAAGGAGTTGGCTAGACTTGAGAACGAGTTGCGATTGAGAAGTCATGGCCGAGCTTTTGTTGGGTCTTACGACACTTCTTCTTTGCTGAGGGAGAAGGACCTCCAGATAGAAAAGGTGACAAATGTAATCTGTAATCAGCTTTTATTTTCCCGGAATCGGTATTACAAGATCATCTTTCTTTTACTTTCATGATCCAAATTCACTCTCTAGTATGCTGGTGACTTGAATTCCGGTATTCTGCATTTCTCTCAGCTAAATAAAAAGGTATTCGAACTAACACAGCAATTAGAGCTCACTCGTTCTCAGTTCGAGGAATTTCAACGAATGGTAGGTGAAGAAAAACAACTGGCAAAAGAGATATCATCGGCAGAATCAGTACAGGCAAATGCCTATCATTTTCACTATTTTTTTTTTAATTTGCTGAAGCATGGATAATACACAACTGTATTGCTGCTGCCTACTCTATTAACTTCTTCCTTCAGTTTGTGCAGAGAAATCAATACCCCAAGTTGCGAGTACGTAAGTCATGGGATTTTGAGAACGCAAGACCAGAAAGCCCTGTTTCAGCTCAACCTTCCAGTCTGTCTCCTCATTCAACAGAGCGCAGTTACGACGAGAATGTCTTCCAGCTTTCAGATTTCAGATCAGATTCCGGGGCAAGTGGTCCACCTCAGCACATTTCGTTTGGAACTCCTAGCGAGTTAACTGATGTTCAACTTCATATTCATGAGACAGAAACTAAAGAACAATCTGATGTTCACAAGGAGGAAACTGCAGACCGACCTCATAATCATGAGGAGCAATTGATTGAGGTTAATGACCAACAGCCTGACCGAAATTCTGAAGACAACTGCATGGAAGTCCGATGTATTGAAATGGAGGAGTCAGGTATTAGCAGATGTCCAGACCCAAATAACGCATGTGCACTACCAGTGTTGGAGAGCTTAAGACCGCTAACAGGAGCTGAGGATGAAGAAAAAGAGGTAAAGGAAATCACCAAAACGCCACCCCCAATATGTTTTCCCATCTTCTGACAAATCTTTCCCTCAGCAGCTTGATGGAGACATGTCTAGCCTCGGAAAATACCCGGCATCTATTGAGAAACCTTACTCGTGGGTCCATGGGAGGGATTCACAAGCATTCGAAGGCATGAAGCTGGTGAGGAGCAGAAGTTGCAGATCAAGTTTGATGTCGAGCTCTTCCTTCTCTTGGTTTGAAAAAGACGAGAAGAGCAGCGAAAACATGCCCCCAAGCTGGTATGAGAAAGAATTGATCAGAACAACTGAGAAACCCACCCGGACAATACCCACTTTACATTATAACTTCAGGGATGAGAAGCCATTTTCGAATGAATTTGGGGGAGGACTGTCTAGTTGGTTTGGGAAATATTGGAATGTAAGAAGACGTGTGAGGGCCCAAACGATGCCCGGTGCTTCACAGTATGGCATAAATAATGGAATATCATCATCAAATCAATCGCAGGCTTGGCCCTCTGACTCCTCCATGCTTGAGCTTCAGAACTACGACACTAGAGCTCCAGACATAGAGGAGAAAATTGTGGAAATGGAGAATCTTGAGCGAATGATTCATCGTCTGGTTAGACTTTCTAACTTGAATGACCAAAAACACTTAAACCGTTTGCTGGAAATTATTGTGGGTTTTGTTGATTTGCACAGGATCAAATCTAAGTCAAATGAGTTCGTCCCAAGGTGATTAATTTTAGCATGCTCACTTGTGGTGCAGATGGAGGAGGACGTAGAAAACAAGACGGTGAGATCAAAGAGTGACAGTTACACAGCGTTGGATCCAATACGAGATTACTTAGAAGTGAGGCAAATGAATTGGGAGATGGAATTCAAGAAGATGCAGAGGGAGATCATAGAGCTGTGGCATATGTGCAACGTCTCGATGGGACATAGAACTTACTTCTTCCTTTTATTCAGAGGAGATGAAAAAGATTGTCTGTACATGGAAGTTGAACTCAGGAGACTCAGTCACATCAGTGAATCCTTCCACCATGGCAGCAAAGCTGTTGAACAAGGGCGAACCCTTAGCCCCACTTCCAGGTACAGAGACATATATATACACATCTATACGTATATCATATGATCCATATACATGATTTAATTAATTTTGTAACAAAAAAATATCTGGTGGGGATGATGATGTTGAACAAGAAGCAGCATGAGGGCGTTGAACAGAGAGAGGTACAAGCTGAGCCAGCTGATGGAGAAGAAGCTGACCAAGGAAGAGAGAAGGAAGTTGTTCATGAGATGGGGAATAGGACTCAACACTAAGCACCGGCGGCTCCAGCTGGCACACCGGCTCTGGTCGGAGACCAAAGACATGGACCACGTCCGTGAGAGCGCCACCGTTGTCGGTAAGCTCCTAGGCTTCGTCGACATGGACTTGTCCTCCCGGGAGATGTTCGGTCTCAACTTCTCTCTCAGGCCCCGTCCCAAGAAGAAATCTAGCCGTTGGAAACGCAGCGTTCTCTCTCTCGCCATCTTCTAAATTCTCTCTCTCTCTCTGTCTCTTTGCTATGATATAGAAATAATCGTATCTTGGACTTTATATTTCAGAATTTTATATTTGTTTTGTACAATTTATTAAGGACATAAACATGTCTGATCAAACAATAAAAGTCATTTTTGGAACGTATTCGTTCTCGCACTTGCACGCATTTTTGCAGAAAAAATGGATGCAATATAATTTATATGACATGAAAATGTAGAACAAAAATTACTGGGACATAAAAAACATATTTTCAGGCGACAAGTTAGCTCATTTTTATTTTTTTCATATATATGTATGTATGTATATATATATTATTCAAAACAAAATATCTCATTCGAAATAGACAAACTGATTTAACACTGGGGGTAGGAGTAGATAGATGATATCCAATCGTGCCTTTGCTAACTAATGATGACATCATATACTCGAATCCAGTAGGGGTTTTAAATATGCGATAATTTTGTTGGAATATAACGACACTAATTAATTTAAATATATTCTACGTAAAGGAGCACATTTTCAATTCTCCCAATAAGAGATCGCCACGTGCCATCTACTGACGCTGTGCTTTTCTCCTCCGGTAGACTTGTCCTGCCCCCTTCCGGAACACTGAATGACGAAGACACCCCTCCCTCCTTAGAGTCGCATCAATCTCCTACGTGACAAAAACAACTTTGATTGCGATTGTATACACACACAGGTAAATATATATATATATATATATAATATTTACAAGAGGCTTCAAGTATTACGATTTTTGCATTTTTCTTGACGTTTTGTTATTAATGAAACCTATGTTTTGTAATTTTTATTGAAAAGATTAATTACTAGAAACTCGTCTATTACTTTGCAGTTGAAATGAACTACGTCATAGTATAATTCGATGCATAGCTATCATCCACGATGACAAATAGAAAGTAGATAAACCGAACGTTCATCAATATTTGAGTTTTTTTTTTTAAAGACACTTATGAAACCCATGCGCAAGCGGGGCGGTCCACAATATGTCCAATTAATCTATATGGATTAGCGTAAGTAATATATCTTGTTATTTAATTATATATCTTCAAACTGATTTTGCTGCGTATATAAGTTCCCGTTTTATCCAGATTCACGTGTCCGTACATTGATATATATATATATATAGAGGAAATTTGCAGCAGTATCCAAAAACGTCATTAGAAATCTATAATTGTTTTTTCATTCCTTTGCAAACTATACTTTTTTATAATTTTTTGACAAAAATACCTTTACTTTATTGTATAATTTCAATGTTGTCATTAAACATTTCAAAAAAATTACAGCATAAAAAATATATATTTTATTCAGAAACTGTGTTATCTCGGAAAACTGTTTTTTTCATCCGGAATAATTATTTTCATATGTGAGAATCTGTTTTTATTTGGTTTAACTGTTTTTGTAACGAAAAAATAATTTTTTTTATCAAGAAGAACTGTTTCTCGTCCGAAAAAATTATTTTTTCATTCGGGAAAGACTTTTTTTTATCCGAAAGAAATAGTTTTATCCAAAAAAAATCTATTTTCGTCCGCTGGAATACTTTTTTTTTGAGAAAATTGTTTTCATGGGGAAAAATGTTTTTATATGAAAAACAATTTTTTTTAAACGTGAGAACTATTTTTCATTCGAACAAAAAATGTACACTCCCGAACGAAAACCAACTTTCTCGAAAAAAACAGTTCGTCCGGACAAAAAAACAAACTTTTCCGAACGAAAAACAGATTTTTCCGGACAAAAAACAATCTTCCCGGACAAAAAACAGTTCTCCCGGACAAAAAAAAAATTCTCCCGGATAAAAACAAACTCTCCCGAACAAAAACAGTTATCCTAGACAAAAAAAATTCTTCCGGACAAAAAACAGACTCTCCCGGACGAAAAACAGTTCTCCCGGACAAAAACAGACTCTCCCGGACGAAAAACAGTTCTCCCGTACAAAAAACAGACTCTCCCGGATGGAAAACAGTTGTCCCGGACAAAAAACAGTTCTCCCGGATAAAAACAGTCTCTCTCGTATGAAAAACAACTCTCCCGGATTACACAGTTTCCAAAAAAATATGTTTTTTATATTATACATTTTTTCGAGACCTAAATAGCAATATTGAAATTATACAATAAAGGTAGTTTTGTCAAAATTTTATAGAAAGTATAGTTTGCAAATGTCATAACTATTTTGTCATATTTCGCAAAACATCACGTTTTTTGTTACACTTATCCAAGATCCCTATATATATATATATATATATATGTGTGTATGACACACGCTGATCTAGGGAGGGTTGTATTGTATCGTCGAATTAGACAAAGGTCAGTGAATTCGACACGAGAGTTGTCGACAAAGAGACAAAAGGGGCACATCATATTCATATGAACATATTACGCACGTTTTCCAACACTTATCTTTTCTGCTTTCAACCCCCCCTCTCCGTTCTCATATATATATATCTGTATTCAGATGTAGCATTTTCTCTATTTAGCTTCAAAGCAGGTCTCATGTCTCATAGGTGAACCCACGTACAAATATCCATAATTATTTTATAACTTATCCTGTAGTTTATGTCCTGTTTGTTCTTGACCTATGTTGTTATATATACACAAATACCATAATATATATATATGTGTGTGTGTGTGTGAATCTCCCTTTAGTTATATATATATATACACATATATATATATATATCAAATTTATGCACCACGTGGTGCATAGGTAAAGAGAGGGGAAAGAAACATAAATTACAAATTAAATATAGAATGCCCCGTTTGGAGGAGAATCATGTGGACCACCAAGTGTTGAGTGTACACAAGGCAGAATGATTATTCGAACAGCCTCCTCTTCCCATGCCCCGTTTTCTCTTCAAACGGAACCACCAACTTTCTCTTCGTTTCATTTTTCCCCTTAAATTCCATTTTTTATTTAATTTCTATATCATAATCATTGCGTGTGTGGGTTAAATGTATATATGCATTTTATATACATGTCTTTGTTTTTCATGCCACGCTTTGTTTTGCTAACATGGTCTCATGCCATATACATGCGAGATGCGACACTCAAGAGAGGTAAAATCATCATATCCGGTAAAAAAAAAAACATTAAATGTATCGTTTTATGATGTTTGTCTGAGCGAAAACAAAATTTTAATTACTAGGACGATATTTGTTGACCAGATGTTGAATTTATAAAAATCCATGTAAGCACTTCTATAATCTGTACATACATTAATGTGTGCAATATTACGACTACCACATCGATTAAAAAATGGCACACATATATGCGAGCATACATACATACATACATACATACATACATACATACATACATACATACATACATACATACATACATACATACATACATACATACATACATACATACATACATACATACATACATACATACATACATACATACATACATACATACATACATACATACATACATACATACATACATACATACATACATACATACATACATACATACATACATACATACATACATACATACATACATACATGCATACATAAGTCAGTATTTACACACTCACAGGCACACACGTATGTGTAGCCTCAACTCGGTCGTTAGGTCACCACGAGATGAGCTTATGATTACACTCGAAAAACACACGCCAGTTTTTCAAGTGGACGGTCCATGTAATTCATTATTCTAGAATTCAATCGATACATCGCCTTTTCAATCTATAACTTTCCCGAGCTTATAACCCGTCTCATAGTGTCGGTTTCCTCTCGCAAGAAGCAGAAGAAGGAAACATAATTGAAGGCGCAAGATAGAGCGCACTAACGTACGCGTGTATATGGTACTAAATCTGACCCGATCGAGAAACGGCGATTTCAAAGAAAAAAGCACCAAATCCCTGGAGGGATATACATATACATATACACACACATACACATCGGCGAGACCATATCATGATCATGATGGAGTGTATGGAGCATCAGTCGTGCAGTGTGCCGCCTGGGTTTAGATTTCATCCGAAGGAGGAGGAGCTTGTCGGATATTATCTCAGGAAGAAAGTCGCGTCGCAGAAGATCGATCTTGATGTTATTAGAGAAATCGATCTCTACAAGATTGAGCCATGGGATCTACAAGGTACCCTTATATTTTACATCTAGACTTGTATATATATAATTTCTGTATATATTATATCTATATACACGGATTTACTTATCAGTATCGATCAGCACGAATGTTTGTTTTCATTCATATATATATATATATATATATATAGGTTTTTTCGTTCGATCTAGGGTTTCTGCTATACTGAACCGGATCTTTTGCTTTTGGTATTTGTTAACGAATATATGAACCCGATCTTCTCATAACAAAGGGAAAGTAGCAGTTTTATGTATGTATGAGTTGCAAGGAAAATGGTAAATCGGTAGTAATCAGCCAAAAAACCCTAATCATGTAACATTCATCCGTTTCATTTTTGTATTTGTAGAGTGACTAATATTACGCTACTGAAGCTAACAAACTTCACAGGCATATGCACTTATATATATACACGTCATAAATATATAAACGCGGTAAAATAGAATGTAAAAAAATGATAAAAATTTTCCGTTCCCTCAAAATTTGACTTACTGCAGATTTTCTTGTTTTTCCAAATACTTAATAGTATGTTTGCATGCATATATTGCAAGTAAAAGATATGGGTGGAAATCTGCATATATATCTCTAATACTTTTGACATATATGTAATCGATCGGGCGGTAGAGAGATGCAGGATGGGTTATGAGGACCAAAACGAATGGTACTTTTTCAGCCACAAGGACAAGAAGTATCCGACAGGGACGAGGACCAACAGAGCCACAGTGGCCGGATTCTGGAAAGCCACAGGCCGAGACAAAGCCGTACACCACAAATCCAAACTCATTGGCATGAGAAAGACCCTTGTCTTTTACAGAGGACGAGCTCCCAACGGTCAGAAAACCGATTGGATCATGCACGAATACCGTCTTGAATCTGAGGAGAATGCACCCCCGCAGGTGAGGAGGCTATATACATACATACATATATATATATATATATATTCACATTCATGATAACAAGTGTTGGTAATTCATTATCATCACGTTCTTAATTGTGGTAGAATATATTTTTAATTAAGTCAAAGGAAGGATATTTTGTATGATCCGGCATCTCATTTATTTGCTTATCATGATTCATTTCAAAAGATCACACACATATATCTTTAAATCATAACTGAGCTTTTGCTGTTTGCTTCTGCGTTTGTATGGAAAACAAAAGGAAGAAGGATGGGTGGTATGCAGAGCGTTCAAGAAACGTGTGCAGACAAAGAGAAGCGAAGCGTGGGAGAAGAGTTGCTTCGTATTGGATGAAGCCATGCACATGCCATCATCGTCGTCGTCGTCATCGTCATCATCACATTATGATAACACTCTCACATCTCTTTGTAAGAAAGGGTTTCCGGACATTGATCTGTTCATTCAAACCGAGGATCGGTTATGTCAGAAGCTTCCTCATCAGCTGGAGAGCCCATCTTCTCTACCTCCGCTCCATGAAGAAGACCACCGAAACAACGACGACTGCTTCACCAATTCAGAGAAGAGAGTCACCGACTGGAGATCTCTCGACAGGTTCGTGGCGTCTCAGCTGCTCATGAGTGGACAACCCTAACTATAAAACGGAGGCCTGAGGTTTCTCATATATATATATATATATATATGTGTGTGTGTGCGTGTATATCTGTATGCATGCATGCATGGACACGTCGTCATTTTTAGAGCATGAATTAATTAGACTCGGTACCATACGGATGATGATCGTAATAATAAGTTCGCTGGGTGATTGATGAAGATCCAATAAGATATATATACCCACAAATATATATACAAGTCAATCCCTGCAAGAATCTAAGAAATTATTTTTTTTTTCTATATATATTAAAGACCAGCAGAATGCGGAAAGGTAATAATATAATGTCGTTATTTTAACCTAGACCCGAACCCTAGGAGATAATTCCGTGAAAATATTGCAAAGTGGGCCTCAGGTGGGGCCATCAAAGATGGGCTTTGTCCAGCATGCGCTATGTAGCATGGTTTGTGCTCTTCATGCCTTGTCCCCCCCCCCCCC